TGCCCTCACACACGCACGCACGCCCTCACACGCGCACATACGCCCTCACACATGCACGCATGCCCTCACACACGCACGCACGCCCTCACACACGCACGCATGCTCTCACACACGCACGCATGCCCTCACACACGCACGCACGCCCTCACACACGCACGCACGCCCTCACACACGCACGCACGCCATCACACACGCACGCACGCCCTTACACACGCACGCACGCCCTCACACACGCACGCACGCCCTCACACATGCACGCATGCCTTCACACACGCACGCATGCCCTCACACACGCACGCACACCATCACACATGCACGCACACCATCACACATGCACGCATGCCCTCAAACACGCACGCACGCCTTCACACACGCACATACGCCCTCACACACGCACGCACACCCTCACACACGAACGCACGCCCTCACACCCGCACGCAGACAAGAACAAGACAATGATTCAATGAGACAACGAGAAAATGCGATGAGACAACGAGAGAACAGGACGAGACGACGAGACAATGAAACGACGGCGGCGTACGGACCTTGTTCTGAAGTAGTGTCTTACGACAGCCTTCCTACACTCGCGTGCGATGTCTCCCCACACACCAGCCTTTCAATGAGACAACGAGACAACGAAACGAAATGTGGAGACAATGAGACATTTAGACAATGGCAGCGTACGGACATCACATGCACGGCGCTGAGCTGGAACCCGCAAGAAAGCCGTCGAGTGGGAAGACCCAAAGCAACCTGAAGGCGAGACTCAGAAGCTGTACCTAAGAAGAAGGGTTACACCTGGAGGGAAACACGGCGGAAGGCAATCAACCGAGCGACATGGAGGAAGTTCACCAATGACCTGTGTCTCCAAGTAATGTAATTGTACGTAATGTAATGTAATATAATGTAATGTAATGTTGTAATGCAATGTAATGTGATATAATATAATGTAATGCAAAGCAATTAAATTTTTTTTAACAAACAAAATGACCTGTGTCTCCCGGGAAACTGAAGGTTCTAACAAGAAGTTCGCGTGTACGGACCTTGTTCTGAAGTAGTGTCTTACGACAGCCTTCCTCCACTCGCGCACGATGTCTCCCCACACACCGGCCTTTCCCTCCTCCAGGTCATGTATGCGCAGCTCTGCCACCGCACTTCTCGCCTCCGCCATCCTCCAGCTGCAAGCGAGACGAGTTAATTAATTAACGACTAATTAAATAATTAATTAATGAGTGATTAGTAAATAAAGCGATTAATCAACGATAGACTAATATGTATCAACGCGATTGATGAAACTTGAACAACGATCGACTAATATCTATTGATTTTGATTGATCAATCCCAAACGATTGATTAACGATTGACTATTAAATGTCTATTGATATCGATCGGTTAATCCTGAACGATTGATTAACGATTGACTAACCGACAGTTAATTAAAGGTTAACTCATGGAAGATTAATGAACAGAAGATTCAGATAACGGGAGCACCAAGCGAACAGCCATCTTGTATTATTGTCGTTAAATGTTAGCGCCCTCTATATTATAGAACTCCGTGCATCTTTTACACACAATGAAAAATTTTTTATAGCAATAATGTATATATATATATATATATTATACATATGATATGTATCCACTAGTATAGTAAATCCACAGTAGTGCCGCGGAGGCCGAACAGCGTCATCTAACGTCTACCTGCGGTGACGACTTGTGGTGAGTGGTGGAGTTTCTAAGATAAACGCCTGTAGTCCGCCCAAATGTGTCGATCATACGCACAGCAGAACGCGTGGAAGAGGCAACAGGGATCGGTATCTAGGACCTTCTCAAAGGAATGTCGTTGGGGATCGTTATGAAAGGTTCCACGAGTATGGCGCGTACGTTAAGGTCTTCAGATTACAAGGATGGAAGCTGCCCATCGTACGTGTTACGCAACAACTATTTGCAAGACAGAATAGGTAAGCACTCATCCATAGTTACCTACCGCCAAGCCTACAGGCTGGATAGTAGAGAGCTTGCACCTGTATTAATTAACGAAGGCAAAAACGTACACAGTAGTATCACCGACCACATGTCACTGAGCAGTGGCATAAGTTACGTTGCCATATGTAAGCACACTTGACAGTATCAGGAATGCCATAGAAATAATGACCGATTTTAAGGAGGGATAAACCTTCTTCAAGACCAAATTTTAGGCTTTTTGATATTTCACTGTGCCATTGTAGCTCATAGCAGCCAGCATTATATGATTCTACTAGCAAACCCGGCAAGTCCAATTCTTTCAAACGAGTTAAACAAATCCGAATGTTTAACACCTCCTGCTTCAGGGTCCAAAAGGTCGTATCTGACATTATGACTTACCTTCTTCAAAATGTCAGCAGAAAGTACCATTATCATGGGTCCTGTTCTAATAAAGCCAGAGAAAAATGGCTAGGTCACCGCTGAAACAAAAAAAGGTTTTTCAATCGCCTCCGCAGACCATGGTCCTCAGAGAAATGACAAAATGATGCCCTGTGCCCCGATTGACCTTGACGCTGTGACCTCTCAATTTCGCACAGTGATCGGCTTTCGCCATGATGCATACATGACTATCACGAGCCTGTAGTCGAGGCCGTTAGATTTGTGCCGCAATTCTGCATTCTGCCGTCCCTATACTTTAAGTTAAGGAGGGACATGGGTTCACCCTTCTTTTACACCTCTTGAACCGTTGTGACCTTTGACCCCCGAGCTTCTGACCATCCCAGACTCGTTTGTGACTGATGCCCGCCCGATCGACCGCGAATATCCGGACCGTAATGTCGAGGTTTCGCCGTAAGAATTGTTGGTGCCCTAACCTGTTGACGCACGGACGGACGACACATCCGGTCCGGCCGCACCCGGTTACGGAGAGAACTCCCGGCCGCAACGCGACCGGCACGCACGAGACGGACGCACGGACGCACGCTCATGCGATTCTACAAGCTGCACCTGACTACGTCAGATGAGCTAATAATAAACAACCCAACAACAGCTTCGACATCCCAACTCGTTTTGACGATCCCCCCCGACGTCCCGAATATCGTGACCGTACGTCAAGCGGTTAAGATTTGTGTCCAACTGTTGACGCACGGGCGTACGGACGAACGCACGGCCGGACGCACGCACGGACGCACGCTCATGCGATTCTACAAGCTGCATCTGACTATGTCATTGTCAGATGAGCTAATAATACACATCGTGCAGCAGTGATATTTTCATCAATACGGGCGACAGTAGCAGAGCGAGACAATAACACAAACGCGGCATTGCGACGTGTGTGCATGCCGTGCTGTATACACCGGTATACACCTGTCACAGCCCAGAGTGAGCGAGAGAGAAAAGCCAGCTCATGCGTTTGGCTGCGAACGAGTTATTTATCATGAGTAGTTACCATGACAACTGAGGCCAACAGATTTCACAACCAATCAGCTAATATTCATGAATGGTTACCACGACAACTAAGGCCACAGGGGTTCACAACCAATCAGTTATTACTGACAAGTGGGTACCATGAAAACTAAGGCCACGAGATTTTGCAACCAATCAGAGTTATTATTCACTAGTGGTTACGATGACAACTGAATTGCCACCAGGTTTCACAACCAATCAGAGTTGTTATTGCCGAGTGGAACTTGCCATGGCAACTTAAGCCACGAGATTTTGCAACCAATCAAGAGTTATAATTAACGAGTACTAACTACCACAATACCAAATACTACACCCAAATATTACACCCAAATACTTCACCCAAATACCCAAATACGCCCAAATACTACACCCAAATACTACGCTCGAATACTACGGTTATCAACCTCTTGGATAGGATTCATCAACAAACATGCCGAACACTCGAACACCGCACATAGACGGGCGCCGACAACCCAGCCGATTGACGATTGCGTGCACGGCAGGCAGCAGTGACGGGCGACAGTCTACCGAGTCCGTGAGCGCAGTTAAAGCCCGGCGCACACGTGGCGATTTTTATCGCTAGTACCGGCGATTCTGTTGCCGGCGACAAAATCGCCGAGAAATCGCCACGTGTGCGCTGCCCGGCGTCACCGATTTTGACGCCAGAAACTCGTCGCTGGAATATCAAACATGTTTGATATTTGTTGCCCATGCAGTCGCTGAAACACATTCGGCTGAGGCGTGTGCGCGCACTGGCGACTCGAATCTTGGGCCACGAGTTTCTTTTGGATTCAAGCCAATCAAATGCCATGTATTTGAAGGCACGTGTGTCAATACTATTGCAGGCGCCCCGTGTGTGGCTTTGGGGTAACAGGTCAACGAGCTTACAGTGTCATACAGGTGGTATGGTCGTCTGATCAGAGAGACGGTTGAATTGTCGCCGGGTGGCGCGGCACGTGACGATTTTTATGACAGTACGCCGAGCGGATAATAAAATCGACGGTATTCTGTCGAGTAAAATCGCACCGTGTGCGCCCGGGCTTAAGGGCTTTATCAGGCCGGCATTCTATCGCGCGGGTCGAGTGGACAACATCACGCGATTTAAGTCGGCGACTGCCAATAATCGCCCGATAATATCAAAAACGTTTTGATCGATGCGATTGAATCGGAGCTGACTAATCGGGCCCGACTAAATCGGCGGCACTGAGCTGAGCACAGTTTAGGTAGCCGATTTCATCACCCGCGATTGAGCGTCGCCAGACTGAGTTGCGCCCCGCGGATAAAGATCGCCTAGTGTGTGCCGCGGCCCTTTAGAGAGAGTTGCGCGCTGCTCAGATATCCATGCAGAGCAGTGTGAGCAGAAGCAGATCGTGCTCCATCGACCCTCCCTATATTAACGTGAACTCATGATAAGTTGATAACCCGTGTTTATACACGATACGGGTGTAGTAATAACGCAGGAAAGGTTAGCAGTGGGACAGCGGTCAATCACAGTCCAGATACACACGATAAGGAATGGGCGTAGCGTTGCGGCACAGCAAAAATAATCAACAACCCAGTTAGTAACCATGGCAGGGAATGGCGCTAGAGAAATAGTTAGGGAAATCCTCAAATCATCATCAATATCTATCACGAGCACTTTATTTTTACAACTTTTTTTTTCCTTTCTACATCTTATAAAAAACGCCATTAAAGTACTTGGAATTGATATTTGAATAGTTAATCTGTGCATGTGAGGCTTTTTGATTTTCACAACACACGCACACACACAACACAGCGTACGTTCAATCATGCCATACACGTCACGCACGATGCACCATACCGTGGCACGGGCGGGACCAGGAAACTGCGACACGCGACGACATATCGACACATCGGGACCAACAGCCTGTCCTTTGTGCTGTGTGTGTGTGTGTGTAGTGTGTGTGTGCTGTGTGTGTGTGTGTGTGATGTGTGTGTGTGCGCTGTCGTGCGTGCGGGTGCGTGCGTGCGTGTGCACTGTGGCGTGTTGCGCGAAGAGACAGGGAGAGAGGAGAGGAGAGACGAGAGAGAGCCGAGAGAGAGAGAGAGAGGGAGCCAGAGAGCCGAGAGAAGCAGAGAGAGATGAGAGAGAGAGAGGAGAGAGAGAGAGGAGAAGAGAGAGAGAGAGAGAGGTCGAGATGAGAGAAGAGGGACGAGCGGGACGCAGCAGGCGAAGAGCGAGAGAGAAGGAGCAGCAGAGAGAGAGGGTGAGGCTCCGAGAGACAGGAGAGAGAGGCGAGAGAGAGAGAGGAGATGAGAAGACGAGAGACGAGAGAGAGAGAGAAGAGAGAGCGAGAGAGAGAGAGAGAGAGAGAGAGAGAGGAGAGAGAGAGAGAGAGAGAGAAGAGAGAGGAGAGAGAGAGAGAGAGAGGAGAGAGAGAGAGAGAGAGAGAGAGAGAGCATTGATCCCTGCCATCACGAGTTTCCTATACCAAAACTATATTTTTATCTTTATTTTTAATCTAGTAAGCAGCTTAATAGTTATACAAATAACGCTTCGATTCCGACCCGCCCCCCCGGGCCCACCGCCCCACACGCCCCGCGCCAATCCCCGCACACAAGTCAAGAGCAGGTTTATAGATAGACCATCGACGCCTAATATATACGTAAACTTATCTGAAGTATTTGGACTTCTGTTCCACTTACGTGTCTGTTGCATCACCTGTAAGAGTACACAGGGGCATACGCTCTCTGTCTCTCTCTCCTACGATCACTACACACGTTTTTTTAT